AGTTGTCAAGGACAGTAAACTGAAGCCTTACCATAAGGGCCATTTTATCCTATGCTTTCAAGTAAAAGATATATCAGGTCCCTAACATGCATTTGTGTTACTTTCACACAGCTTTGATTATTTCTTTCTTTTATTTATATCTAAATGTATAAGGACAACAGGAAAGGAAGAAAAACCATAACTCAGCTAAGAATCCATGCTGTGTAGACAAGTTACTGAAATCTGATCTGGCTATCGGAAAGAAGCAAAAATGGAGTAGAAAAAATTATTTTGTGGGGGGCACTCATAAACATTTGGGATATGAGAGAGGAATGAGATGCACTATTTGAAGTGAAAAATAAGATTTGGATAGGTTAAGAGAGGTGTGTGTGTTTAGAGCCCATCAAGGTGAGCTTTTCAGAGTAGCTCTGGGTTCTCTCTCTACACTACTTGGGATTCTTCAGGTGTGCCTGAGCATGTTTCTGGGTTGCAGCCTCTGCCTTCCCTCACTGCCTCTGCAATCACCAGCTTTAAGGCCTTTGCAGTAAGTCCAGGTGAGGAAATAAGCAACTAAAGCATCATGCTGCAGTGCATTAGAATACATGTTTTCTCCATAAAATACTCATGACTTACGTTTTAATTCAGTAGCAGTTTTCTGATCCTGCAGCTTATGCACAGCTCAGAGTTTTTTAAAAGGTAGCTTTTAGCCTGCTGATTGAATGAGCGTTTGGCTGATAATGAACGTTTGCTAGGTGCCATACAAGGACTTTACTTAAATACACCTTAACCCAAAATACCAGTGAGATATGTACCTAATGTTAGGAGGGTGTCTGAAATGTCTAAATGGAATAAGATGGGGATGAAAGGTATTTGTAACAGTATTGAGCAGGATTTACCATAGCTTTAGTAATAACATTCGAAATGGAGAATAGTCCACCTTCATTGGATTGCAGAAACAAGAGAATATGTTAATAATCCCATTTATTCCTACTTCATAAAGTGTGTTGTGTTTGTGTTTTTAAATACTGAAAGCAGACTGTTGCTCTTGAGAAAGTGATTCATAGGGGAAAAAAAGTTTTTCCTAAATGAGAAGAGGCTCAAAGCTCAGTCTTCATGCAGGTTCCCAGAGAAATGAGACTATTATTTTAACTTAACAAGCATATCAGCTGTAGATTCCTCATTTACAAATAGGTGTTACTTCAAGCTTTTGGCTACAGGCTAGAATTCCTTAAGATGTGATTACTTACCAATGTATGCAGCTCCATCAGTTACCATGTATTTGTTACGATTTAATTTGGGAAGGGAAGTGTTCTTCTGTTCTTTAAGAAAGCATGCACTCTCTTCCTCAAGGTCAAAGAATTTCTGCCATAAAATAGAATGGAGTGCAGGTTAGTGAGAACTGTTCTATAACGGACAGAAATATGGTCTGTTCTCTACTCTTTATTGAAAATGAGTTAGTGCTATAGAACAGCTTGAGTTTTTATACCCAAGCATTAATTTTGATAAAACACTGCACGTACATTGTATTTCTTACTAAATTCTCATAGTTTGTGATACGCGCTATGCCTTGGCATACAAAGTATATGGCTACTGCATACTAAAAGCAATACAGTGCCAGGTAACAAAGGCCATAAAATGAACAAACAACTCCCCCATCTTTGTGTTCTGCATGGTAAAAGCCATGAACTTTTCTTTAGCTCATTTCCTCATTCATCAAGGGACATTGGGGTTTGAAGTCTGCTTCTGGATTGGCAGGCACACCCAACAGCTGAATTAATACCTTTGTATTACACATTACATAGTTTCCAAGATGATTTCAGAATTTCAGAAACTTAGAAAATTCTCAGGATTAAATCTGATAAAAAATCAAATTTACCAGCAACAAGACGACAATCCATCTGTTTTTACCCTAAAGGGTGAAGTCTGAGTTAGATTTTTTTTTTTTTTTTTTAAATTTTGGAGCTATATGCTCTCCTTGTCTGCATCAGTGGGAAACTTTGATTGAGGTGATGGTGTAGATCCTCAGAACAAACCTAATTCACCATATATTACTGCTGAAATTAACTGGATATACATTGCACTCACTTAAGACATTGAAAAATACTATTAAAAAACCCCCACCCCAAACCTTCTTGATCGTTCTTGGGGGATATTTTCCGTAATGCAAAATTCATCTCTTGAACCAGTGCTCTTTTTTTATACAAACCTTGAGCAAATCCTTTTAAGTTATGGAGATGTCTTTTGGGATAGTCTTACTACAATGAAAACCCAACTATAAAATACTAAATTCATTATTGAAATGTGGTGATCTATGTTGTAGACTACATCATCAGTTTGATTAAATCAAATAAGGGTGTACACATAGCACACAGGCAGTTAGTTTCATAAAGCATTCTTTACTCAGCTGATGCTGTTGGCAGGTTTCAAGCTGGTTTGCAGTAAACTGCTCGACTATTGCAAAGCGTGTTTGTGACTGATTACCAGGAACACCAGCTTTAGGTTTTACACCACTGGTTGCTTCAAAACTGCGTATAAATACTCATTCATAAAACCTCTCCTCTTAATCATCTGTTTCGATTATTATAGTTTTGTTTTCCTTCAAGAACTGTCCTCTAAGTTCTGAACAGGCTTATCTGCAATTAGTATTACCAAACCTAACTAAAATGTTTTACTTGCAGACAAAAGGTAGAGTAGCCCAGAGGCTGCTGTTTATCCATCACTTTATGGTTTGGACTCTGAGAATCTCTCTGTTCCTCATTGGAAAATACACTGGGGTGAATTTTATGTTGTTGTCAAAGGTTGTTCCAAAATTCCTTGGAAGAATTTGTGTGTAAAATACCAAGGCTAGTTCAGGCTCCTGCCAATTCCAGCACTGAGGAGTCTCTGTTCTTGGAGACTCCCTCCCCACAATGATGAAAGCTTATTCGGGCTGAAGCAGGTTTTTAGTGCATTAGAAACTAAATTGAATGAGTTTGTGGGTTTTTTTCAGTGCCCAGATACCGGGTATGGTACTGTGGTGCAGTTTTGTGATTGATAACTATGACAAAGTTGTTTCCTTAGAACAGTGTCTGAATTTACTTACCTGTACATGGCATTACCTTCCACAGCTTAATTTTTGTAATGAGTTCAAATACTAGCAAAAATCCAAAGATAGTTTTTTGAATTTAAAAACAAGCAAAACAACCCAAACTGATTGCTTTATAAAGGACATTTAAAAAGATAATTCTATGTAAAACTGTAGTATCTGTCCTTTAAATGAGATTTGTATTGTCTGTTCACATCTAACTAAGCTACATGGAGAAATCATACCTTTAGTTACAGATTTTTAACATTGCTAACAATTACAGCATTACACTTTAAAAACCAAAATTGAACAAACCATTGTAGCAGCTGTAAAGGAAAGTTTACTAGGTACTAGAGGTTAGTTCTTAGACAACATCAAGACTGCAGCTGTGTGCCTGAGGAACTGCTCTACAAACAAGCACCCACCACAGAAAGTGTGTACTTAGCAAGCCAGAGACGGATTTGAATCTTTCTGAAAGGGTCTTGAATTTTTGGATAAAGCCAGAAGAAAATGTTCCTGTTTCTCCTGGCACAGCAAAACAGGAATGGAGACAGGCAGCAGCCATAGGGTAGGCGCAGTAACTACAGGGATGTAGAAGATACTGTGTGACTAATGCTCATATTGTAGGGAATAGGCTAAAACTGGCAAATGGGTAAAGTATTCAATGCTAGGAAACAAAACGTAACAAGCTGTCGTCTTCCCACTGTTACAAGATTTAGCAAAAAGTCACATACCTTGATGTAAGAATAGTCAAGCACAATAATCATGTAAGCTTAGAGTTGTCATATTGAGATAGATTCAGCAGATGTGAACTAGTGTTCTGTTCAGATAATAACTTTGTAAGAGAGAGAATTTCAGATTCAGGCAGGAGAACATAGAAGGCTTGAAAATGTAATGTATTCTCCAGCAACAGCACAGAAGCCGTTACCTCCTTGACACAATGCAGATACCAGTAGGGAAACCCCTCTGCCCTCGCAAACAGAATACGCAAAGGTAGCTGAGCAGAGCATGTGAACCAGCACTGGCATCAAGTAGCACACCCTAACAGCCTCCAGCACACCCCTGCAGCAGAAGTACTGTGTTAATAATACACCACCTTCTGCCGACATTTCATTCATCTTTTCCATCTTCATTTTAGGAGTTTAGACCTTTAAAATGAAATTCATGCTTAGGAGCAAAGGTTTACTAGTTAATTCATAGCACTTTATTTACCCATAGGGCATTTCTGAAAATCAGTGAAAAGTTCAATTTTTCCTTCCTCTTACCCTTAGCAGGAATACAGCTGCACAACTCTGAAATGGATTCACATGGAAGCTCAGGAACAATTTGTGCTGTATGTCTGGTCCATGCTATTCCTTTCTCATCTCCAGCTGCCTAAAGACACTTGGTTCTAGTTCATACTTTCTGTGGGCCCTTCAAAAACATGCACCTTTCTCTGTTCAGCAGAGAGAGAGCCCCTTTTTCCTGCTCCTTTGAGAGTTAGACTGAACATTCTTGCACATAAGATACATTTGCAGGGTCAAGCACACAAAACTTGTACTGGAATACTGGAACTGAGGTCCCAAGAGGCACAATGGTGAGCTCTTCACCTTGAGTGATTTGAGCTTTAATTTCATGACCACATGTGGTTCAGTGCATGGGACAGAGCTCCCTGAATGAGCAGCAGTTTGGTATGCAGTTTACTCCTTGACGTTTGTCTGCGTGCTTATAGCATTTATTTAGTCCTCAAACAAAGCTTTTTCCTCATAAGTTCTTCCCAGTGATAATTATTTTTTTCAAGTACTCTGAAAGCAGTTTCAGTTGAATCCAGTAATGCTTATGTGAACTGGACTCTGAGCAAGATGCTGAGGAATGCATAATTAAGGACTAATTGTCTTCTCACTGCATTGATGATGCTAATTGCCTAGTATTGTCAAAAGTTTTGTGGCAAAAGAGAAAAAAAACATGCTTCTAGATAGAGCACACTGTTACAACTAGGACATCGTGTCTTACAGTCCCTGCCTTTCTGACCTCAACAGCAGATTAAAAAATTACATGCACAGCGCTCAGCGGCTGGTTTTCGTCAGTACACTGCTAGACATAACAGGTTTGCAGTGTCCTGTTTCTAACTATATACTTGCAGTTAGGCAATACCAAAACTTTCATTAGCCTGGTCAGAGACCAGGGGAAATCAGGAGATTCCCATCCAACAGAGGAATTACATCTGCACAGCCTTCTCCAAGATGACTGTGTACATCAGGCTGCTGCCATGGGCAAAACAGTGTGCCTGCAGCAAGCCATGGCTGCTCCCTGGAAAATTCCTAGCCAAACTGGTCTTTCCTTGGGCATAAGAAAAAAAAGAAAAAAATCACAACAAGGCATGTCACTGGGATCAAAAGCTAAACGAAAGAAAGAAGTTACTGAATATGCTGTGTAGGACTCAGATATATTGTCCCCTGGAGAACAGAGGATTGAGGGACTGCCATTACTGTCAGAATGATATTGAGGTATTGGGACAGCTTAGCAATTTTAAGTTTAACTTCAATCAGAGTTTGTAACTTAAGGTTCTCTTAAAATTTCAGTGTTCTTGTGTACAAACACGTACAATACATCTCTGCATGACAGTATTTTCTGTACATAGTTTAGTCTGGCTTTGTATTTTCTCATACCCAAAGCTGAATTAAAAGGGAAAAGCAGATTTGGTTTAAGTTTAATTTTTACCTTGTTAGCTCTTCCTTCTCCCCCATACACACACATAGTTTTGTTTCACTTAGATCCTGGCTAGAACAGATGAATACAAAGGAAATGCAGTTTTAAAAAACAGTGCTCATCTGACATGTTTTGTGAAGGAAAGGAGTATGGTGATGAAGCCTGTGGCAGAGTTCATCCAAAATCAGATACCAGTAAACTCTGAGCCTTGGGCTGTTACTCATACTAAGGCTTATTTAAGGCAGTGATATACTCAGGGTATGGGCCACGTGATGCACAGCGCAGAGGTAACTGAGGTGTGTTGTACCTTGACAACTATTTACATCTAGGGTGGTCTAATTTTTTTGCTGGAAGTTGTATTGTATTTTCCAACTGCCACTATTCTAGCTAGACTAGCTACCTAGAGTAGATGTCTAGAAATATTTTTTTTCCTTTTAGCATTTAGTTCCTGATGAGATAAATTCTGTAATAAAGATTTTACCCGCAGTAAATGGATGGAAACAAGTATGTAGAGCATTAGGTGCCACTTAAATAAAAAATAATTTTGAACACATAAATAGAATATTAATGATAAATAAGGAATAAACCAGAATTTACTCGAAATTGAAGTGGCTTTTATCAGTGTCAGCTATGTATGGGCTTTTTGATTTAAAAACACGCTTTATGCTGCTTCTTATCTAGGAAACTTGTAATAACTGTGTATGTTATAACAAAAACCCCTATTTCTAGATAAGCATAATTACCACTTAGTGTGTATAACACAAACAGTACTTGGTTTTTTGCAATTGTTATCGCTTTTAAAAAGCCAAAATGATTTAGTAGATTATCAGTTTAAGAAGTCAAAATAATTTACCAGATTATTTAAAACAGTTATCTGAGGGGAAAAACAAAACAAAACAAAAACCACCACCTCAAACAAAAAGAAATTGATCCCAGATGAATTGATCTAAGATGACCGATTTCCAGTGTGCCTCAATTTCATAAAAACAAACTGTGTCAAATTGAAAGTAGTACTTCCCATACACTCTGTTTTCTAATACAAATGTAACATACATGATCTTAGAGGTCTTTTCCAACCTTAATGATTCTATATGGTATTCCTCATTTTCCTGTACTGCATGTCACATAGTGGTTGTTCTGGTCTTCACAATTCTGAATTTGTAGCCTGAATTTAATGTGAAGTCTTCATTATGTTTTCTTGCACTTTGTACTTGATTAAAGGAAAAGCAGAGGCAAATGCAGCTGAACAGTAAGGTTACACAAATCCAGACTAAAAGACATTTTTGTGCCGTCACATTTACTCTTTATCAGCCAGTATAAACAAGACATATGACTACGGTTCACTGTTAGCTTTGCTGTGAAAGACCAGATGTAGTGTTTTACATGGGCTGTCCATCACACAGACTGCCTTTTGGCATCATTCTATTTTTCTGTCTTAATTTCTATGTCTGTTAACACTAGGAATAAATTCAGTTCATGGCATTAACTTTTCCTATGTTATTTAATGAAATTTAAAGGCTTTGATACTAATAGAAAACACTTTTTGGTTGTGAAGTTTTCTTGACTTTTTTTTGGGGGTGGGAAATATGTTAGATTTCAAATATGGATTATACTTACAACTTTCAAACTACAGCTCGGAACTTCAGTGCAAATAGCTTTCAGAGATGAAACGAAGTTAAAAGTAAGGGGATCTGTATCTCTTGAGAAACTGATGAGAAGTCGTACTTTAATACTTCGTAAGACTAATGCTTCTCTTATCTTCCCATCTAAATACGGCCAGTACCTGTGGAAAAGAATACAATATATTCAGAGAACTTAAAAAAAAATTCGGATTTTTATGCAGCCAAGTCTAGAATCATAGAGAAAACTAAACACATGTGAATTTCATTTTCTTTCTGTTGAAGGAATGCCATTCTCATTTAAAGGGGTTTTCACTAAACAGATCTGCCAGCATCCTTTTTTGTGTCCTTCTGCCCTGCACCAAAACTGTCAGTGTGGGGACAGCGAGGCTGAGGATGGTTCAGCACATCTTCCATCTGTGTAGATACTCGGAGAGCTGCCAAAACACTGGCAGAAAAAAACAGGTACCTTGTCAGCCCCTAGCTGGGAGAATTACTCCCATGTCACTGCCTGTGGCAAGAGCAGTGGAGCTTTTGCAGTACCAGAGAACCAGCAGAAGGAGCTACAGCTAGAGGGTGCTGCTTACCCAGCCAGCCCAGAGGGACAAGAAGGATTTTCAGTTGGTTGCACAAGTAAAGGAACACGGACCCAGGATCCCTCCCTGCCTGCCATCCTTTTCTTCCTCTGTACTGGGACCATACAGGCTGGGGACTGGAATACCTTCTGTAATTTTTTGCTTGGGAAGAGGAGAGCCGCTGCTATGCAGGGTGCCTGCGCCCTTCAGTAGCAGATAAAGGTGGGTCGTTCAGGGAGGATGCTACCTTTTTTCCTGATGAGGATTGCTCATCAGGCAAATGATAGTTATTTTTTGAAAAATTTGAACAAAACTTCTTTAATTATGCAAAACTGGAAAAAAGCACATGTTTAGTTTGGCTTAACTATGTACAAATAAAGTGGATGGATGGAATGGTGAGCTTTACTAGATGCTCAATTTGGTGCGAGTGTTATCAAGGGTAGGTGGAACCACTGGATACTTGCCTTCTGAGTTGGATCATTTTATTACACTGTGGTTCCAGTTTTGGGTTATGAGTGCTTTTTAATGGTCCATACAAACCATTTTTGTTTGTTTAAAATTTACTCGGTTTCGCTCGTTTTTAGCAACTCTCCATTAACCAAAACATGATATAATTCAAATGCAGTCTGTGGTGAATTTGGAATTTTCACATATATGTAATTTCAGTAAAATAATGACATCTCCCACATTGTATACGAACTCATAACATGTTATTTCTCTCTTAACACAAACATGCACACACTCTGTCTCTTTCATGTTGAATATCTGCATGATACTCATAAAATGCCAGTAGCTCTAGTGTCGAGATAGTGAAACACAATAGTATAAGAAATAGGATTCATGTATAAGCACGTTCTTGTATTCCTGGGTCCCAGTCACCAGTCTCTTGCAGATGGTCAGACTAGACAATTTCTGATCTCCTTCGATAGGCAGATCCCAAAGCTTAGGACCCAGAACTGGAAATGTCTTCTTAGGTCCCAATTCTGCTCCCATTTAAGTCAATGGCAGAACTCTCACTGATTTCAATAAGAGCAGAATTGGGCCCCAAGAAATTGGTCCACAGTAGTAACTACTTTCCTGTGGGTTCATTTTCTCCAACAGACCTTAATGGCATTATGATAACGTGCTGGTCCTGGACATGGACACTCACCGTTTAGCATTGGTGTCAATGACGATTGGCAAGTAGTCCATGACAGCTATGTATACAAACTGCTTCGCATCATCGATAACACTGTATATAGCTTCAATATCCAGGACTCTGTCCTTTGGGCAGAAGAGTTTAGGTGAATTCTGTGAAGGGAAAAGTTCAAATATGGCATTTCAAATACATGATTTATTTTCTCTTTCCGTCATTCTTCTTGACATGGCAAGTAGTATCCTTTATTTTAGTAGATAATAATTAGCTGATACTTTCAACTGTCCTGCTAGAATACTCAAAAGTTACAAAGGAGAGGTATTCGCTTAATTTCCCCTTGAAAGTCTCACCATTTAGACATAACTGTGGGTAAAATGCAGAAGACACAAACTTCAGAACATCCACTGCTATCAAAGAAGCTCTAGTTGAAGTTGCGTTTCAGAGAACTTTGTTCCAAAGAGCCCCCGGACTGGTTACTGTTGGATGGATTAATAGCTGTGTTCTTAGCACATGAGCCTGATCCATCACTTGCTACGAGGAATTAAGTCTATCATGTCAGTTGTGTTTAAACTTCCACGCAAAGTCACCGTTTGCTCAGTCACTGTCGCAGGGAGATGCTGCAGTTTTGCAAGAAACTTATCTTTAAAACTTAGCTTGAGGTATAAATTAACTCTTTACCTGGTACTGAGCCGGTAAGTGGTAAGCCCAGATTTCCGCTTTTTTGCCTTGTATCTCAGGCTGTCAAATGTGTCGGCCTTGCTGAGTAAGGCCAAGCCAGCAGGAATCACCCATCTGTGGCAGAGGCGGACAGGCCCA